GGTCATGCGATGGAAATGGTAGTAGGACACGCACGTGTCTTTTGGATTACGCACCACATAAATTATCTAGTTGATTTATAATAGTATGATAAATACAAGGAGACATGCATTAAGTAGGTAGCATTTTATATTATTCTAGGACCCTGCCGACTTTTACGCTTACCTTGCATTTCAGTTGCTTCAACTGAAGTGGGATGTGAGTCGCGGGCAAATGGGTTGATAGTAGCCGTTCGGGACCCAAGAATCCCGAGGGACCGGTAGGGCTACCCATCTCGAAGTGCTTGACACGTTTCGGTAGGTATACATCTTTAACATTGTCTATATTCCCGTCATTGCACACGAGGGACAGTATCTCCGCCGTCCACGTCATACCTGACTTGGGATACGTGGCCAGCCATATGTCTGTCCCCTGTATTTCAAATTCATTGACTTTTGATAGGAATTCCGGTGATATGAAGTAGTGTTGCATTAATAGGCCATTGAATAGTAGGGCGTTGGGTATGGATCGCACATACTGTGCCCTTTCGGGATCGGTGTCCAAATCGGGTTCATTTGCAGCTTCTATGATATTTGATGCTGACCTTGCTCATAATGAAGTTTTAGTATAGCATTGAATTAATACTATAATTTTTAAATAAGTTTAATTATATAGCTTACATTATTATTTAGGTGTAAAACTTTGTAATATAATTTTTAAAAATTTTAAATAAAGGTATATTTAAAACTACAATAAATAGACTAGCATTATTGTTATTCTGTTTTGTATTAATTATTTTTTGCATTTAGTTAAAGAATTGTCATTGATGATATTGCACTATTTATGATGTCGCGTGAATTAAAAAAAACTAAAATTTATTTGAACTTTTTGAAAAATATTAAGTTTTACTAATTATTTATTAATTATTAGTAATATTTTAAATTTGGGAACAATTGAATATTCTAAATAGATAAATTATTTTAATACCCAATTAATTATATAAATTTAATTTCTTTAAATATTACAAAAGTCAATTCTAGATTAAAATTAATTTGCTTTAATATTTTGTCGTCAAGCAGAATATTACATAATTTTTATTGCATTACTTTTATGATACGCTAACTATTTTGTAGGTTTAATAAATAAAGTGCATTAAAATAACAAATAGCATGACATTTAAGTTTAATATAAAACTTAAATACTTAAAACAATTTTGAGTTTTTATTGTATTTATTGCTTTTGTATTTGAAGTTATTCAAGATGGATACCTTGTATATTTTACTAGCGATAATTTTTATTATAATAAGTTCATATATTTATTGGTAAACATATTTTATTAATATACATGTTATGTAATTAAATGTTTTAAAATAGTTGTTATATTTAAAATAGGCTCTTATTCTCACCAGTACCTAATTATTGGCGTGAACAAGGTATAGGTGGACCGACACCTTTACCATTTGTCGGCAACTTTTTCAGTACAGTATTCACACCTCATATCAAACGAGAACTTCAATGGCATCAGAAATACGGAAATATTTTCGGGTAATATATATTATAATTATATATATCAGATCCGGAAAAAACTAATCGCAATGCCCTTGCTTTAGTAAAACTTTGATTATTTCTTAACTAGAACATTTACTTTTAATCCATTTAAACCCCAACTATGGTTTTAAGTCTTACATGTGCCCCCGAAGAGACAGGTTGATTCGAGCACCGGTAGCTCGGAACAGGTAGTTTATTTAAAATATTCTATATCTTTCAAACTACAATTCACATCTTGGCTAACGATAGCTCATTTGAAAAAGCATAAAAAAGTAGGAGACACATGAAAAATTATTTTATCCACATATCCATATTTATTGGCCAGGGAGGCCCGGTATGTCTAAAAATTTGAATTTTGAGCATTTTTAGAATCAACAAGAATAGGAATTTTGGAAAGTTAAGATATGGAAAATGTAGATAATTTAATTCTCTATCAATATAAATATAAAAATATTTTATTCAATCAGAGCACCGGGAGGAAAGGTAGGTATTTTATTATGACTATACTAAATGTTTTTGAGTATATCTATTAGTTCACTGAATAGAGCTCAAAAAATGAAAAAGGTTAGCATTTTAAACTTTTCAAATATCTATCAAAATAACTGTACTAGAATAGGTCAAAGTTTGCATTTTTACAAGTTAGTTTGAATATTTCCATTGAAAACGTAAACAACAAAATAGTAATACAAAAACCCTTTTCAATGGCAATATTCAATGTAAAAATGCAAACTTTGACCTATTCTAGTACAGTTATTTTGATAGATATTTGAAAAGTTTAAAATGCTAACCTTTTTCATTATTTATTAGACATTAGTTTCTTAAATTAAAAATACAAATTTAATAATAATAAAAAATTCCTGAAATAGGTACTCGCTTATTTTTAATTATCTTTTAATTCCAGTCATCGGATTAATTTTATCTAGTATAGTTTTTGCTGTACAGAAAATTAATTTTGATACACTAATAATTGCTCTAGAAATGTCCTGTCTTCGGGAGAATAATCAGGATCATATACTTTAAATTGGCTTTAAATAGATTAATTTTATCATGATTAGTTTAGGAATTATTAAGGTTTTTACCAGTCAATATTGTTACTGTGCTTTTTCTATGACTAAATCTAATGTATTTTCAATGGAAAAACCTCTTTTTTGTAAACTCAAATGGCGCAGTTACCATGGTAGATTTCGACACCAAATAAAATTTTTTTACAAACCGAGAAGTTGGGGCTATAAAACTGTGAAGAGAGGATTAGGATTGGATTATCCGTTTTAGTGTAGGAAATTTCAAGCCCATAAAGTTAACTAATTCCACGATTGTATGTTATGGTAATTCACATAAAACTAGCAATAATTTTGAAATTAATTAATTAATTTTGCTGTCTATTATAGGTCTACAATACTTGCATAGTGTGAACATATTCCACGGAGATATAGGTAAGAGGTAGAGGTATTCCACGGATACCGACTCGTAATAACCGGATAGATGTTGGAGATTGGGATGACTTTGAACACCTGGATACCATCTTGGTTACCATCGGGTAGAATCTTAGCTGCCACGCACACGTGGAAGACTTCCATATAGCCTATAATCTTAGTCGGGTCCTGACGGTGGGGGCGGGTGTTG